CTTCTTAATAAAGCGAGGTGTTGTGAGCTAATTTTAGTACCCTGACACAAACCCGTTCAAAGAGACACGAGGACAAAGAGAGACTTTTATGTTAAACGTGAAACATGAGTCGTCTCTTTGTGAGAAGAAGGGAGAGGTTCACCGCAGCTTTCACCGCTCGCCCCACATGAAACGTTTTCAACAGTGTCAACATCGGCTTCTAATTGAGACAGTGATGATGATAAAAAGAGTGTAATCCAGTGACAGATCAAACGTCTCCTGAGCCGTCGTTCCCACAGACACAAAGAGACGCAGCGCTGCTATCACATCTCGTGATCTTAACAGAAACTCAGCGGAGACATCTGTGTTGCAAATGAGCCTGACAATGAGACAATGAGGTGCCCACATTCAAAAATACAACGCCTGGAAACTGCAGAGCCTTAAGAGGTGTCAATACGTGAACATCAGGCGATTATATGCTTCCACAATAACCTCCACCCCTCCCCCTCAAAAGCCGTTTTCACATTATGCACTCCTGAAAATATCTAGATAATTTCAGGAGGACTGCTCCAGATGTTCTCCTGACCTCATATATCATCCTCACAGCAGGAGACTACAGCTCCTTCTGCAAATATCACATTCTTTCAGGAGTTTTCTGCAAGTGTGAAAGCCCTCAATAACTCAATTTCTACCACTTAAACTTCCGAGCAGCAGAAAAGTTAAACCCTCATGGTGGATCATAAGTTCTGGTTCTACCCGGCAGGTGTACATGTACAGGAAATGTATTAAGTTATATCATTTCAGTCATTTCAGTCATTTCTGCAAATTGTTGCATTATGAGCCAGGTTACATACCCTTTCTTGTACTTGAGGGAAAGAGTCTTCCAGAAGTCAATTTCCTCATCTTTTGAGGAGAATTTGGGAATCATGTCTGTTTCCATGGCAAACAAATCTGCAGAAGAAGAGATAAAAGAAACATGAGTGATTACAATGGGGGGAAAAAAAGCTCAATTTTACCGCACAAACCTGTTGTGTGTTTAATGTTTAATGGAAGAGCAAAGTCATCCTTTTTAGATTACATTAATTCCTTAAAATTTCAAATAGCTTCCCTCTGAAAATCTATCTTAAAGGTCACAGAGCTCCTCAAAACATGTGTGTGAAGTTTCTTGTTCTAAATCCACTCTGATCCTGTATTTGATCATGTCTATAAACCCCTCTATTTCAGCCCTGCTCAGAACAGGCTGTTTCTGTGTCTGTACCTTTAAATATGTAAATGAGCTGTGTCTGACCACGCCCCCTCTCTGGAAGGGCTTGGGTGTACTCAGTGCTTTCTCACTCCATGTCCTATTGTTTACGGTGAGAAGGCAGACTCAGAGGGCAGAACAAACACCTAGCTGTGGGAGTGTCACCCACCTGGGGGAGGGGCTACTGCCCTTTGTGATGTCATGAAGGGAAAATCTCCAAACGGCCTGTTTGAGCACACATTTTCAGAAAAGTGGAGCAGGCAGAAGACGGAGAGAATGGACTTTTCTCAGCATTGGGGGGTTTGTAACAGACTAGAGCCACATGTTAGTGTTAAAGAAACATGGTGAAGTGTGTTTTGAATAATATGTGACCTTTTAAGTATCATTTTAAAACACAGCAGGGAATACATCATCAAAAGCGTTCCCCCTCTCGAGTCCCAGACGCCCGGAGGAGTTCGCTTTTTTAGAAAACAACAAACTGCTACAAACAAAACATCCTTTTTAAATCCATTAATGACTTCCATGGGGTGTAAAACACATCCTAGAACGGCCTAAAACAGAGCCTGCAGACATGATGTGAAAATCTGAAAACCTGCTTCTTGGTTTTTAAAATGTGGTTCATGGGCTGAAATCTGGCACACATCTTTGAATAGGCACTACAGAAGAACAATGGCAGGAGTATTTATTTGAAGCATCTTCAAAAACACGTATCCAGCCAAAATAGTGAGAGTAAACTGCACCTTTAAAAACACACAGATCCCGGGGGGAAACCTTGAGTGGAGAGCACCTCATTCATTGCAACTCATAATTAGTAGAGAGATAAACGACTCTACCATGAGGGCCACAGCTTTATAAAATATAGTTTTTATAAATGTTTCTTTGGTAATGTACTCCTTTGGTTTGATTTCACTAAATACTGACACTAATATCTTTTCATCTTCATTTGGTTTTTAGTGCCTGTGATGTGATGTCGTCTCCAAACAATGCTCCAAAACTATTTGAACCAAACAAAGTTGGACTAATATGTTTGTTCAGGACAAAGCTTCCTTTTGTTCTGTCTTTGACTCTATGGGATTAAAAGTTATGGTTGGAAAAAAAAAAGACAATGGAGAGAGAGAGAGAGAGAAGGAGAGACAGAACAAGGTCATGAGACGCCTCTGGGTGTTGGGTGATGTAAGTACATAATGCTGACCTTCAGCTCCATGCCAGTTGACATTCAATAAAACACTTTACAACCATCGATGGACAGTTATAGAAGACGTAGTCAGATAATGAAGTAAAAACACGGAGCACATTGACACAGAAGAAAACTTAAAGGGACTCTTAATCCATCAGTTCATCACAAAGCTATGCATTCAAATCACCAACACTTTGATGTAAACTGGACAAGATGCAGAGAAACAAGTTAACATAGAAACATGTTTAACTAAAGCTTGGATGCTTCAGACACTGATTTCTTCTGTAAGTTGCCAAGAAATGTTTCCCTTTGAGCTCCTGAATAATTCAACTTGGTAACACTTCAACAGAAAGCCTGGAGGGAACCTCAAATATCATTACAGTATAGAGAAGATTGCAGAAATAGCCCTTTGATAGCATCCTAAACTGGGCTTGATAAGGTTATAAAAGGAAGAAAAATTGCATCTAATGTTTGAGAAAACAATTTTTCTCTTTCAGTAAACTATGTGAGCTCTATAATGGCCGGTGAATTTTGATTTTATATGAATATATTTAATTTTTTACATTAAAATCCACCTTAAAACCATACTACTACATTCCCTTAGTGATAAGGTTTTATCCAAAGGAGAGGTGACCCTGTTGAACACTATCATATGGCAATGTAGACTCAGTCACAGCAAGAGAAAGAGAACAAAATTATAAATTTATAAAGTGATAAATTAAACAGTAAATTTAAAACACAAGCTTTGGGTGGCCTATGGAAGCAGAGTGTAAAATAAAAGAGTAAAATGACACTAATAGTCTACAAGCAGAGAGATGCTGCTGAGCTCAGCTGTCAAAACTGGGTGTGCAAACCTCATCATGAACACGACCGACCAGCTAAACAAACACCGACATGCTGCTAGAAGAATATTGCTTCTAATTGCTTTTCAACAAAGACAAAATTAAGGACATTAAAACGCATCCTGTACCTGAACATCGCCTCAAACCGTGATGTTTATCGGTCCATTTGGCCCGCTGGTGTGAGCTGCTGAGGCCGACTGTCTCCTCTGCTGAGTGATGTGAAGACCTGCCTCCTCCTCCTCCTCCTCCTCCTCTCAGCTGGGATTTAAAGCGAACTACACCCTAAAAATGTATCCAATATGTATCTTAAACTCGGGTTAAACGTGCGAACTAAATAGTGTAATCAGTGGAAATGCAGAAAACAGTTTAGTGCATGTGAATGGCTTTACTTTTGCTCATCGGTGACTCAAATAAAATCCGCTTAAAAATACCCACAAATAAAATCATTATTTAATAGAAAAGGAAAAAATATGTTATTTTCTGGTCTTGCCTTCCTCTGTGGATTCTTGCAATAAAATGATGTTAAAATACTCAAAATATTATCTGTATTTTGACTGTAAATAATCAGTCTATAATTACTCACTGTTGTGTTCGCCAGCGTCACTACTGCGCATGAACTGCGCATGACAAGGTTAAGTTAGCACCACCTGCTGGTCATCTCTTGAAATAGCGGGGTTTTTTTAAACTAATATATTTGGATGGATGTTTGGTGAAGTATTATATAATGTTATAGTAGTAAAATAAGGCTCTGGGAGGCCCTGTCGAAAAAACATGAAGGTCCTAGATCTGCGGTCCTGATCCTGCAGCCTCCTGCTCTTCAGACACAGAATATTGGGAGGTTTTTCTGTTTTACAGGAAAAACGTAGTTATAAAATAACTTTTTACTTAGATATCTCTATACTGATTTTGGTGGGGGAGTGTTTTTTTTAAATCATCTTTTTATTTGGGATGGGTATACAACGATCAACAAACTGTCCACAGAATGTCAGTATATCCCTCCCTCCACCAACATGAACACATACATACATGCATGTCTGCATACAGAGGCCTCCATGCATACATAGAAAAACAAAACAAAAACAAGAAAAACAATCCTAACAGTAATACTAATAATACTTTTTATTATGATAGAAAAAATGATTAAAAAAAGGGGGAATTAAATAATAATAAAAAAATAGATATCATAACATCATAGCTTCATTGCATTAGCATTGTTGACAACCTTTAGAAAATTCCTCTAAGCAACAGATCAATGGAAGAACAAAAGTCCTGAAAAATATGACCACGGTTACATTTTTCCAAAGTTAGTTTCTCTAACGGTAAACATTGTGACACTTGATCCAAAAACAACTTAAAGGTTGGCGGAGATTCATTTTTCCCAAAAAAGTAATATACCTTTATTGGCAAAATATGTTATAATTATTAATATTCTGCATTTTTTTCTATCTAACTGAAAATCTGGGGAGTCATTTAATAAATACAGACAAGGGTTTAAATCAAATTCCATTTCCAAAACAGATTTAGTAAAAAAATGAATAGACTTCCAAAAGTCCTTCAGCACATCACAAACATGTGTATGTGGGCAGTGGTTTTAATAAAAAGAAGACAAAAAAGATAACAGTCAATTTATTAATTAAAATAAAAAAGTACGGTAGTGCGTAACGTCAGATGCGTCAGATCAGTGCCTGCTTGTTGTCATAGTAACGGTTACTATGAGAGCAGCCGAGACCCCAAACATTTCCTGCTAAGTTTACAAGTTGGGGTCATCATGGCTTCTTCACAAAAATACAGAAGTGTTTCAGGCAAGTCTTATGAATACAGAGACCCGGAAGAAGAAGACAGTGTCACGAATATGTTTGATGTTGTGCTACAAGGAAGAATGAGAGAGGTTTGTACCGCAATGTTATGATGGTGTAGCTAACTACCCGTAACAGTTAACGCCGCGTTACGTAATTTTACGTAAATGCCATGAAATGCATAAAATAACTTGGCATATTTAAAATTATTAAATATGGTTACTGTGTCCCAAAATAGTGGATGGTTCTTTCTGGACACTTTGCTAAAAATAATAAACTAAACAAAAAATAATTTATTTAATGAAGAATTTGGTAATAGTACACCCTTACAACAGCTTTGGTGTTTTAGTAAAATTGGGAGCCAAATTACTTAACAAAAAAAACCAAATCAAAACAAATAATAATATCAATAATTTGGTTTTATTATGTTAGTTTATTTAAGTACAACAGGGGTTCAACACTCACAGGGAGACCTCCTGACATGTGATTGGAAGTTCTTCCATAAACTTGAATTTAAGGACTGTTGGAGGTACAGTCTACGAATTAAATCGCATTAAAAAAAATATATTTTACTTCTTTAAAGACTTAAAGAGCACATTGCAGGCTGAAGACACCAGTTAGCAATTTAAAAGAAAATAACTTAAAAATAATATTTTAAAAGAAATTCCGAAATTAATCAACCACAGGGTCTCCTGGAGACATTTTAGTACTTTTGTAGTAGCAAAAGAGAAATTAAATCTTGAACCCTTAATCACAGATCAGTTTTCTTACCACATGAAGGTAGCAGCAAAAGTCCAGAAAAAAACAGCAGCTTTAAACCAAAGAGCATTTGTCATCTGAATGCTTTGTTCTCAGTCCTGGCCTGGGATTGGCTCACTTGTTTTTTTACCAGTGTATATTGTATCAGAGGACGCTTCATTGCGTTTCTTGAACAATAGGTTTCTAGGATATAAAGCTCTTATAAACAGTGAAGGCACGCCACTCACTAAGGCTTCAGTTTCCTCACTCAGTCGTCAAAACCTGACTCAGAGGACGTAGGATGGAGGAAATGAGCAGATTGAAAGCAGATGAAAAGAAAGAGGATAAAACTGGGATGAGTTTATTCGACAGGCTTATGGTACAAAGTAAAGATGCAGAAGAAGATGTGGTTGGTATCAAATTCATTTAAATAAAAAGCAGAAAAATGTTGGTAATGTTTTTGTGCAATTTAGACAAACAGGGTGCATGAGTTTGCCTTCCCACTTTTCATACTTAAAAACAATAAATTGTCCAATATTTTGTGTTTCGGAATTCTATTTTTGTTGCATGGCATCGAAACAGGTTTCAATATTTTTTGATTGTAACAATATCGTACGGTGTTTCAGGACTTCAGCATTTCATCTTTTCTCAAACCTTTTTTTTTGTTATTGTCTCCGCAGAAAATCGTGCTCCAGCAGCTGATCGTGATTGCTTGCCTCCCCGATCATCTTGCTGACAAGACAGAAATAGGAGGTCAGCCCTCAATTACCTTACAGCTCCAAAGACGGGGAGCACAAAAGCCCGGTGCTTGATTAAAGAAGGCATTTAAATTCAACTTGCAATATAATTTTAATCAATGAACTAATCACCTTATGCTCCCTTAATCCCTCAGGGGAAATGAAGGGTGGTGATAGTAATCTCATAGATATTCTTGGAAAATCAGAACAATTTTGAGCTCTTTCTTTTCTTCAAAAACATTCTGCAGTCGCCCTGTTAGCTGTGAAAACTTTCTCTTTTCTCTTGTTTAAATGTCTTTATAGCTTTTACACCTCAACATGTAAATAGTCGTCTGTGTAAGATCTTGATGCGTTTGGAATTCTTGGACAAAAGTTAGAGGAGAAAACCCCACGATAAAAAGCCCAGGAAAGACTTGAACTATGTTTTGACAACACAGCTGTGCTTTCATGTTGTCAGGATACTCGGCCTCCCTGCTGTCTGCAACACAACTCACACTAAGTTCTTTTTTTGTGTCTGCGTGTGTGTGTGTGTGTGTGTGTGTGTGTGTGTGTGTGTGTTTCCATGCAGCTCATTATGAAAGACTTAACTTCCAGCTCAGCAAACAGTACATACTGGATCACATGACAGGCCTCCTTTTAATCTATCCATCCTGTGTGCTGCATGTCATCGAAGTAAGTTTTACAGACAAATAATTATTCACATCGCCCGTCTATGATAAAGATTTCTTATGGGATACTTTGTACTCTGTGGGGCTCTGTTGCAGTCATCCAGGGAGGTTCTGCTCTCTGTTCTGAAAGACCTTAAAGAGATGCAACAACAGCAGGAATGGTGAGATCGATTTTCTTCTTTTCTTCTTTTCTTCAGATAAATATCATTCAATGTGGGGTTGTCAGCCGACCGAGTCATTGACAAGAAGCCGAGATAATAAAAAGGAAACGAACACAGCAGCATTCAGACGTTTACATTCACATGTCTGCAACAATTCAACAGACGAACAGATCGCCAAGTGAGAAGCCAGAGTTAGCAAGTGGTTTAAAAAAGTTGTGATGATGAGCATGGTCACAGATTCTCTCATCTTGTTAAGTTTGGTAAATAAATGTCAGCTGCTGTCTGTTAAATATTTACATTCTGCGCCCATTTTTATATTTACCTATTCATTCTTTTCTTTATATTTAAACTCAACAAGTGAACAAGTGTCTTACTTTGTTTCTTCGATCTTAAGTTTGGAAATACGTCTGATAGTTCCTTATGGTAGTGTCCATTGAACTAAAAAAAAATATATATTGTTTTTAAACAAAAATTTGTAGATTTGTAAATTAGCTCATTTTCACATTTCCTTTCAGGACCTTGCTGAAGATCCAAAGGTTGTGTTCATGGACAATCATCCTGAGAGCAGGCTGTTCCAGCAGTGGAGCTACAAGGTTAAATTAAGCTCCTCCACACCTTTGTTTGGTGGTTTTCCCCTCTGTTATTTTTCACCTGTATGTGTTGAGTATTGTTTGACTGAGTGTTTGATGTTGTTGACTGAAGGTTCTCAGTGCAGATCAGGCTTTGAGAGACACTGAAGCTAAGAGACTTGATGAAGAGGAAGAGAGCACAGAGACTGTGGTCTGCACTCTTCTGTCTGCACTGCAGAAACTGGGAAACACATGGACATATCCAAGAAGGTGCATTTACTATTTGAGATGTTTTTTATAGTTATATTTCATTTTTAATTTTAAAATAAGTCTGTCAGTGTCCAGGTTCTTTGACTGTTCAAATGTACTCTAGGCTGGACCCGGGTCTGTGCTGGATGAAACTCCAGAGCTAATCGTCTCTCAGAAGGTTCTGGACAAACTTCTGACTCGAGATGAACTCCTGACTCCAAAGCAGTACTTGCAGATGTACGACTTACCGTTACACATCAACATGGACTTTGGTAAGAGGCTTCTTCTTGTTGATTTGGGATTTATGTTGCATCACAGCTGAGTTGTTAAATAGAGTTCAGTAGTGCTTGATTATTGTGTTAATTTCTGTCACTGATAAAAACAAAGCAACACAAAGTAACACTCTGCTCTGTTGTGTTGTGATTGCTCAACAGGACAAGTAATTCGGAGCAGCTGCCTCACCACAGTTTAACTTTTTGAATAAATGTCAAAGGTAAAAGCTCATGACGCATGTTTCATTTATGACATCCAAATCCAAATCCAGTCATCTTTAAAGGGCCAGTTCTGAAGTGTTACTTAAATGTGGTAGTAGTTTGTATCCTGCTAAAGAGTCTTGCTTTCTTCTCCTGAGGTATTTAAATATATCGTCTGATATTTCTGCTTTCAATTCAACACAATTTAGAGAAGTGGAAATTAGTATGGGGTGAAAAAGTCAGGAAACATTCTTTTTAGTATTGGTTTCAACTAGGGTACACAGATGTAGGGATGCACAGATGTAGAGATGCACAGATGTAGGGATGTACAATGTACAGATGTACAGATGTAGGGGTGCACAGATGTAGGGGTGCACAGATGTAGAGATGCACAGATGTAGGGATGTACAGATGTAGGGATGCACAGATGTAGGGTGCACAGATGTAAGGGTGCACAGATGTAGGATGCACAGATGTAGGGATGCACAGATGTAGGGATGCACAGATGTAGGGGTGCACAGATGTAGAGATGCACAGATGTAGGATGCACAGATGTAGGGATGCACAGATGTAGGGTGCACAGATGTAGAGTGCACAGATGTATGGATGCACAGATGTAGGGGTGCACAGATGTATGGATGCACAGATGTAGGATGCACAGATGTAGGATGCACAGATGTAGGATGCACAGATGTAGAGATGCACAGATGTAGAGATGCACAGATGTAGGGATGCACAGATGTAGGATGCACAGATGTAGGGATGCACAGATGTAGAGATGCACAGATGTAGAGATGCACAGATGTAGAGATGCACAGATGTAGAGATGCACAGATGTATGGATGCACAGATGTAGAGGTGCACAGATGTAGGGGTGCACAGATGTATGGATGCACAGATGTAAGATGCACAGATGTAGAGATGCACAGATGTAGAGATGCACAGATGTAGAGATGCACAGATGTAGAGATGCACAGATGTAGGGATGCACAGATGTAGATGCACAGATGTAGGGGTGCACAGATGTAGAGATGCACAGATGTAGGGATGCACAGATGTAGGGATGCACAGATGTATGGATGCACAGATGTAGGGGTGCACAGATGTATGGATGCACAGATGTAAGGATGTACAGATGTAGAGATGCACAGATGTAAGGATGCACAGATGTAGAGATGCACAGATGTATGGATGCACAGATGTAGGGATGCACAGATGTAGAGATGCACAGATGTAGAGGTGCACAGATGTAAGGTGCACAGATGTAGAGATGCACAGATGTAGGGATGCACAGTTGTATAGATGCACAGATGTAGGGATGCACAGATGTAGAGGTGCACAGATGTAGAGGTGCACAGATGTAGAGGTGCACAGATGTAGAGGTGCACAGATGTAGAGGTGCACAGATGTAGAGGTGCACAGATGTAGAGGTGCACAGATGTAGAGGTGCACAGATGTAGGGATGCACAGATGTAGAGATGCACAGATGTAGAGGTGCACAGATGTAGAGGTGCACAGATGTAGAGGTGCACAGATGTAGAGGTGCACAGATGTAGAGGTGCACAGATGTAGAGGTGCACAGATGTAGGGATGCACAGATGTAGAGATGCACAGATGTAAGGATGCACAGGTGTATGGGTTGAATGTCGGTATTGACGGCCATCATTCCGTCTGCAAATGATGTGGAAGGCATCCAAGTCAGGTGCCAATGTGCATCTTCTGTGTCCCATCAATTAAATGCTGGCAAGCTAATATAACTGACTCCTGCTAAAGAAGTAGCTGTTGAGTTTTCAGCTGCAGCAGATTGGATTAAAGATGGAATTGTGTATTGACATTTATATTTCACACAGAATACATCCTACTAACTCCTCTCACAAACTAAGGTTTAATCTTTATCACCTGCCACTTTTGGTTTTTAAGTAAAAATATATTTTTTTAGTTTGGGTATGCATGTTCTTGTGCCAAAACAATCCTCAGACTTCAACTCTAAAGCCACCATGAGGCTGACATTAGAAGTTCTTAGTTTTATCTTCATATCTAACTATCTCCAACAATCTGCATGACTACATACCTGAACAGGTTTTACACTACCCTATAAAATGAAATATTTCGTCTTTTCATGAAGCACACTCGAGTTGTGACCATAAAAAGGTGTTTGTTGAACACTCGAGTTAAGCCGTTAAACAGCTTCCACACAGCATGACGGCCATCAAAGAATTCTGCATGCTCTGGGCCTTTCTCCGCTGTCACCGTCAGCCTTTTCAAGATTTACCTTGCAATTCAGAAGAGTCATCCAAATGTTTTTTTATGCCTCTGCAGAACGGGTTTGGCCTTCGCTGAAGCCGCTCGGCTGTGACTGAAGGCGCTCTGCTGTGACAGTTTGATTCCAGCGTTTAACAAACTCTGCACTTCTCTCTGGCTTCTCTTTCTTTTCATGTTCGGTCTCCATCTCTCCACAGAATGTTCCTGTCATTACAACTATCTGAGTAAAAAAAAAAAGATTAAACACAAAGAAGCACAGGAATCCCAAAATAATATAAAAACATTTTTAATAGTTTCAACATTCGGATGAGGTTAATTGTATTTTTCTCTCTCTGTACACTGTGTTCCAAGTGGTGACCGGGAGATATCGTGGCCAAGAAAAGGCATTTCCTCAAGAGTCCACAGCATCAGTACAGGTAGACACAAATAACTTTTTTTAAGTTTAAAAAGACTCCTTTATGTGTTCCCCTTTTTTAATTTATTTTGGCCCCCATATCTTAAAATGAAACCGAAGCAAACATAGAAAAAGATGATTGGAGATGTACTTTCAATGGCTGCATGCAACACAGTGTAATCTACAAACTGTATGAGTAAAAAATGGTTTCATGATTCAGTGTCATAGAAGAGATTTAAGCAGGTTTCTGGTCGTCTCTCTGGAGATTTTAGATACTTCGTACTGATGTGCTTTTCTTACTCGTCTAAATAAAAAAGGGTTGAATGTAAAGTATGACATAGAAGATACACGGTGAAAACAAATATTAAGTGTTTCAAACAAAGACTGTTGGCTGAATGAACGGAGAGTTTGACAAAAAAAAAAAGTAAGTATGTGGGGCCACACTGACTCTTCTTTTATAAAGGTCGATCTATCTTATAAAAAATAAATACAAGCACATTTATAAAGGACCAAAGATCAGACACTTTTCATAGGCATGGTTTAAAAAAAAGCATGCTGCCGAGTTTCACACGGGACAATGTCGAATCGAACGACCCCACCCTCCCTCTCCCTAAACTTGATCATAACTCACTTTTTAACAAACACCCCACCACCCTCTTATACTTCAACGTCCACAACATCGTCTATCACCAGTACATTCCTATTCATGTAAAAATTGAAAAAAGGCCTTCGTCTTTTTAGAGCTCAAAGGGCATGCTCACAGAAGCTGTAATACTGGAAACTGTCTCTGGAATCTGTCGCCGGTCGCTAGTTTTATTGTTAATAAAGTTGCGTTTGATGGATAGTGTATGTACAAGCCTTGATCTGAAAGCCTTTTTAGTACAAAACGAAGAGCAGCACATTGTAACACGGAAATCCAGACAAAGACAGGACACGCCATTCAACTCAGCACAGCCAGATTTGAACAAGAACTCTTTTTTTTTTCTTTTTTTTTTTTTCTCACTATTTGAGGTCGGCTAATTTAATCAGACTGCATCCAATCACGTGTCTTAAAGGTCACATATCATCCTCCTCTTCAACCAAATAAATACATTTAAATAAGTCTCAGAGCTCTCCAAAACATGTGTGTGAAGTTTCTTGTTCTAAATCCACTCTGATCCTGTATTTGATCATGCCTATAAACCCCTCTATTTCAGCCCTGCTCAGAACAGGCTGTTTCTGTGTCTGTACCTTTAAATATGTAAATGAGCTGTGTCTGACCACGCCCCCTCTCTGGAAGGGCTTGGGTGCTTCCTCGCTCCATGTCCTATTGTTTACGGTGAGAAGGCAGACTGGTTCAGAACAAACACCTAGCTGTGGGAGTGTCACCCACCTGGGGGAGGGGCTACTGCCCTTTGTGATGTCATGAAGGGAAAATCTCCAAACAGCCTGTTTGAGCACACATTTTCTGAAAAGTGGAGCAGGCAGAAGACAGAGGATGGACTTTCCTCATCATGAGCGGTCTTGTAGACGGACTAGAGACACATACACATAAGAGTAACTTTCATAATATGTGACCTTTAACCCTGGTAGAGCCGGACGCAGTTGGTATTTTTTAAAGATGAATTGATTGACTGTAAAGCAATCGGGAATCATTTTCACATTTTGTACCTGTACAAATATTTCATTTTTTCCTGTTTTTCTTTCGTCCTATGTGAAAATTAGCAAAGTAACCACAGATTTGAGACCGTTAGTCGGACTTGCAAACGCTTTGTTGACGTCACTTTGGGAAATTTAAATTGTGATTTTTCAATATCATCAGGCTTTTAAAATAAATTAAAAAAGGATGGGTAAACAAATAAGTCAATATTGAAATTGTTCATCATTTGCGCCCCTAATGTGTAGAAAGTTTTTCTTATTTTGTAATGCTCGTGAACTCACTGCACTGTCGTTATTGAGAAGATCCTAAAACTAGATTGAACCATCAGAGCTACTGTGCCTTATAAAGTTACTCTACTGTGTGTGAATGTGGCAACATTGTGCTAGAACACATTATAATATTATATGTACAGTATAATCTTATAATGCTCATCATTTATAATTGTCCATACAGTATATATCTATTTATACATATATATATTTAAAAGTCTCCCCTCTCTGTATATACACAACGTGGTATGTACAGATGTTTCAGTATTTACAGAAGTCCTTGAAAAGAAAACAAGATGGCAGAGCAGCACAGTGACTTTGAGGCCGTGTTCAGTGGATCGTCGCAGGACAAAATCAAAGTCTTACAAATCGGGATATGGTCACAGCGAAACCCCCACCACAAGGCAAATAACAAACTGCTGCTGTCGTACCCAAACCTTGTCACTCCAGTTTTTATTGATATTCAAGTTTTCTGTTCAGCCGACCCTCCTGAAGAGTTCAGCGCGCCAGCAGGGGAAATCTGGTCCCGTTTATTCCTCAATCCTCAGATATGATTCATTTATAGCGGAAACAATCTCAACTCGTAAGAGCCAGTAAAAAGGATTCAGAAATATCTCTGTATAAATACTCTCTCTAAAATAAACACACACACACATCTCTTTGTTTGCCTTCAGTTATATGGACCAAAAAATATCGGCTTCATCACTTCTCAGAGTTCCTGTGAGTTACCGTAGTGATGTGGCACCAGCACTTTAGTGAGTGAACGCCTCACAGGGGATGATTCTCATGATGTGTTGTCACAGATTGTTCCATATGGAGCAGTATGCCATCAAAATACTCACAACATTCACCACCACAATGATGATTATTGACCGCAGCAGGTCATTTAAAAATGCTCCAAAACATATCCTAAAATCTGTTTTTCTGGCTGACGGTTTGAATTCAGTGGATGGCTCCACTTGATCATCTTTTAACATGTAATAAAGCCTCGTTTCCACCAAGTGGTCCGGTTCAGTTCTGTTCAGTTTGGTACACATTTATTGTTGTTTCCACCTTCAAAAGTTGGGAATAGTTCGGTACCAAAATAACAGATTTGGACCGTCCCACTGTTTTTTACTTCCTTCTGTTCGGATGCCAAGCGTACCAATCCGACCCTAAAGGTTAGAGCTAGACACACTGCAGTCCGCTGATTGGTCGAAAGAATCTTCACTTCCTGTGTGACAGCGGTAATGTTTTTTGCGACTACTGTCAGACCTTCCTAAGAATCATTGATTTTTGTGAGCTGCGTCACATTCTTCTTCTTTGCTGGATTCATTGGCTGTCTATACTATGTCGCGCTGCTGTGATTTAGTGATGAGTAAGGGTACGATTGGCTGTGGAAACCAAAGGATGATCAGGGTTTACGGTACCAAACTGTTCTGAACCAAACTGGACCGCTTGGTGGAAATGGGGCTTAATTAAGAATCCTAATCATTAAGGTACCGTGTGAACTTTAGATCAAGTCCAAACTCCAGAGTACATGAACGCTGCCGCTCACAGAGCTCCTGCTTTGTGGGTCGGACTTCATTAAATCTATTATCTATACCGCTTTTCCCGCTCGGGGTCGCGTGGGGCTGGAGCCGACACCAGCTGTCATTGTGCTGCATTAAGTTATGAATTTAAACATGTTGTGGTGGCTGACTCCAGGCTCCATTGTTCCAAACATGTACATCTGTGTGATCTCTGTGATTCTGCTTCCTGTTCATGACGCTGCATGGAAAAAATAAAATCCCATGAAAGTTAGCGTGCTGCCAAAATAATAACGCGTAATCCCATGAGGTTCCTTTTCCTATCCCACCTCACTAAACATTTTAAGTTCCTAAAAAAAAAAAAAACATGTGAACCCTTGTGTTCTGTTCCTTTGATAAATAATGCATCTAATATATTTCAAAGCTCCCTGACTGTATGAATCTCTCGGGATGATATGGGTCTTTATAGCTCTTCTGTCGATACAAAATATGATCTTATTTGACTTATAGTGTTATTTGTGTCATATATTCTGAGAATGTACAGTATAAACAATAAATATTCAGTGATTTAGCTCCTTCATCGGGCGCCTTTTAAAACACCAGAGAAAAGTGTGATTGGACTTGTGACCTCTTTACAAACCTGGTAGTTCTTTTCCCAAAAATGTCAAAAAACATGCATTCCTGTTTACGCTCCACGACACCAACAGTGCAACATTATATAGTACAGTTACCAAACACATACAAAACACACACACACACACACACTTTCCATAAAAACAACAAACTGGCACACTCACAGTGAACGCTCAGGTGGGACAGAAACCATGTGCCCCAAGTAGGCAACTTCATAAGGAGACGCCCCGGGGGGAACGCAGGACGACATTAAGATGACAGATAAAGAAAAGGACAAAGAGAAAAAACAAAAATAAGAACGCCTTAGTGTTGGCGGGACAGATGTGCAGTCACTTCTTCAATTCACTTTAGAAGCAGCAGCAGCAGCAAAAGAGCGCTCGTCCCTCCCAGCAGCCTGTTTCCAGTCTCGTGTATGAAGTTAAAGGCAATATTGCAAGTGAGTCAAAAAATAAGGCAAAAAGAAACAGAAAAGATTAAATATAAAAACATGTTTTTTCAGCCAACATAAAACGTCTAAATGTGCGTCTGATCAAAAGCCAACCCTGATGATGTCGTCCCTAACACCTGGTGGTTTCTTTTTAGTTTCTTTCTTTTGAATTTGTCTAGAAGTCGTGTGTTTAGGTGATGATGAATTCCACATAGAGGCCGAACAGATGCAGCTAGAGAGGTGAGGGTGGATGAGTGAGTGTGTGTGTTTTTGTTTTGTGTGTGTTTCTTTGAGCGAGCAGTGCAGCAGTAGCGTTGTGTGTGTGTGTGTAGGGGAACTCAGCGGCGTCATAGCACTGTGCTCTCAGACTCTTCTTCTGACTCCGCTCGTTTTTTTTTCGATTCGAGCAGCGCCAATGAGTTCCTGAAGGGGGCGATGTGGGGCAAGTCAAAAATACCGTCCAGGTCCACGTCGATGACCGGGATGTCCAGGTTGCAGAGAGCGTCTGGCAGAAGCAGAAAAAAACACAGACATCAGGGTGAGAAGAGAGTGAGACAGAGGCTGCTGAAGAGTGAAGCAGATCGTTGTAGAAGAGTCCAGAAGTTTTCACTGATGCTGAATGATGTTACAAACAGCATGTAGGTCATCCATAGTTACAGTATGAATAAATACAAAATGCATGATAGGGAAGAATGCACGATAGAAAACACATTTTATTTAGTCAAAATAAAAGAATGGGCCAAAAGTCTGTGGACACTTAAGTACTACCCTCAAGTTAATATTAAAAATGTTAAACCAGTGGTTCCTAATCTGCTTTTATAAAAGCCTTGATTCTTCTGGTTTCAGTCTTTGGCTGCAGAGTTGCTCCTAATCATCCAGAGGAGAGACCTGGGCTCAGCGCAGGCCCCTGTGGCGTTAGTTTACCTGAAACATACCTGACCATTAAAATAACGCGCACACAAAATGAAGCAGGAAAATGCACCAAAAAAAGATGTTTGGAATATCCTGAAATGTGAGATTTATGTTTTATTTTTATTTATCAAATGAAGTAAGGACAAATGATTTTCTAACACAATTTAGTCAAAAATAATCTTCATGCTGCAGTGTCTAAATATGAAGGTTCCTCACTTTTACTACCTAGCATCAGTCAAACTTCAAACAGGTTAGATCCTACAATTCCCATAATGCAACTGAGTATTGAATACTAGTAGTATCTAGCCTATGCCTGCATTCATGTGGTGTCGGACAAATCGGAAAAATTAGTTCAAGAGTTGGAAAATTCAAATGAACGTCTGCTCAAGTCTGAACACCAACTCAGAATCTCAAGAAAGAACCAGGTTCCCGACTTCCCGACTTCCCGACTTGACGTCAGATTTGTCATCACATGGGGGGGCAAAATATGTTTAATGAATTTTAAGATACTTTTTATTAATTTGCGAATTGCACATCAACTTTGTGCTCAAAAATAACTTGCAACAGAGACATTCACACATGTCTGTTGTTAAAAGATTCACACTTTTTTCACAGTGAAAGCACATGAACACAAGTCAGTAAAAAGACTACTCAACTTGGAAACTGGTGCATTCAGGTGCTCCTCGGATGGTCCAGTTTCTGAGCTGGAAGATGTTTGAGGATGATTCTGACGTCAAGTCGACAGGTTTGGCTCCTAATTCTTTCCTGAATTTCCGAGTTGTTGCTCCAACTTGAGCAGTTATCATGTGCATTCTACAACTCAGAAACGCGTTTTTCCCATGTGTCATGTGACATCGTATGTCCCTTCAGTTTTTTTCTGATTGGTACTCTGCATGCTGAATGCAGCATGCATGCTTATTATTTCTCAATAATAAAGAAGTTCTAAAGTTGACTAAAAGTTAAAGTAAGAAAAACCTTTGAAAAGTTCTAAAGTTGTGGCGCAGGTGGCACAGTGGTTAGTGTGCGCGCCCCATATATGGAGGCTATAGTCCTCCAAGCGGCTGGCCCAGGTTCAAATCCAACCTGTGGCTCCTTTCCTGCATGTCATTCCCTACTCTCTCTCTCCTTGATTTCCGACTCTATCCACTGTCCTGTCTCTCACAGGCACAAAAAGCCCCAAAAAATATATATAAAAAAGTCTTAACATCGCCAACACTATTGGAGAAAAGTCAATGACATGTTCAATGACCACAAAGACCAATCGATACATTGAGCGCTGTCAAAACACACAGTGAGTTATACTCATGTATAACGGTGTGTTGACCTCAGCTCGATGCATGTTTCATGTTTCATGTTTCATGTTTCATGTTTCATGTTTCTGTTTCACTGGAGACAATGATGACGTCCACACTGTAACACACGTGATGGAGAACTTCACAAAGTGCGCTGACTGAGGAGGAGCAGCGGTGGGCAGTGAGGCACAACATTGTGGAGTGGAGTGGAAGTGTGTATGTGTGGGGAGGTGGGGGGGAGTCGGATCAGTGACTTTCAAAGCCATGGGGGAGGCAGCTGGAGCAAGGCATTATGGGAGAGAATCCAAAGGGCAAAAACAGGTTGGATTTTTTTATTTATTTTTTATTGCATCCTGCCCTGGTTTGTCTGCTGGACACGCCCATGTATGTAAGCCATGCATCGCATCAGTCTCAGCCATCATGCAAAGGGCAACAAATGGGGTTAGAGCTGCTCTGAACACAGCGGCTGCATGTCGGGATCAAACATGACGTACAGGTACATCCGGAGGAGCTTTAGAGTGAAGCTGCCGTAGAGCAGTGACATCATGACCGGCTTTATAATCTGCGTCTGCTGACAACTTCACTCTATTAGCTCCGGGTTTTGGCCAGGATGGCAGAGGGGTAGGGGGGGTTGAGATGGGATTGTAGGAGTTTGGGGGGGGGACTCCTGCTTACCCTAAAAGTCCTTCTCATATAGAAGCACTGTGGCTCATACCGCTGTAAGTGAGACAATAAGAGCAGTCGACAAGAGCGGGAATTAGACCAAAAACAGTCATTTACCTACCAGTATTCTCACTGTAATTATAAATAAATACATACGATTAAAACACTTCACAGAGCCTGATACAGACGGATACAGTGTGGATATTATTCTATAGGTTTCCTAGGGAGGAACTTACACAAACAAATCCCATAAAAACACAAAAAACTAACGTGTGTGATTCATCTCTCTCGTACTTTCCTTCAATGTCAGCTTTAAATCCCTCGGCTGAAACTAAAAAATATTATCCATTGGGCCCAGTAGCCTAGTGGTTAGCGTGTGTGCTCCATGTATGGAGGATGTGGTCCTCCCAAGTGGGCGGCCCAGGTTTGAATCTGACCTGTAACTCTCTCTCTCTCCCTGATTTCCAACTCTATCCACTCTCCTATAAAGGCATAAATAGCCCAAAAAATAACTCTTAAAAAATACATATTATCCGATCAAATCCAGTCACAAATAAACATTTTTATTTTAGTTTTTATAAGTAGGCTCAGTAACATCCTGCTGGTAACTCTACTCGATACTACAGTAGGATACAAATCATTAGTTTGTTACTATTTTTCATCAGCGGATTAATCCTGATTTGATTTAGTTGTATTTTTTATTTTTTTATTTAATCTCCTTTATTCTATTCTACTTTGTTCTTATAATCCTTTTTATGATGCTCTCGTTTCTCTTTGATGTCTCAGTAACTTTTATGTCGTATGGGATGATAAATATTTATTTATTCCTGGCCTGTGGCGTCGACTAATGAGACACTTTCAGCAGCACCTGTTGGATCATTTTTCGTTGGTTTTGGTGTTTTTATGGGATTGTTGGCTTTAATTTGTTTTTAAATTTCACCAGAACTTTCCTATACATATTATGAAGAACAAAGTGAAGGTATTTATAATGTATAAACTATAATCTGTACCTTCCATTTCATCCAATAAACAGAAGAATACCATGATAGTTTAGGTTCTTAACTACTTTTCTGTAAAAGTCTATAAAAGCCTTATTTAATAATAACAGCCTGTTGAAGGTGTTTCAGGTGTAGTGCTTTGTGAGAGTTACCTGTAGACATGCTCTCCCCAGGAGACAAACCATCCAGCAGACCCGTCGAGTGCTCCAAAGGTTGGGGACTGGTGCCGGGCGTGGAGGGGGGCTGAGGTGGAGGTAAGCTGGGCCTTTGCCTCGGCGGTTTGGGGGTCGGCCTGTTCTTAGTCAGAGTCCCCGCCAGGGAGGGCGGCGAGGAGAGAGATGGGGTGGTCGCCATCTGGGACTGTCCCGGGGAGCCGATGGTGGCGTACCCCTGTGGGTAGCTGAAGCCGTAGGGGGAGGGGGTGCTGGGAGGAGTGGGCGACAGGCTGACCGGAGACGGCTGACCCGTCGACTGGTCGGACATGGCTCCCGTCTGGCAGTAGGGGACTTTAGGCGGGATCGGGGCGAGCTTCTTTGCTGCAGAGAGGCCGACATGCAAGAACAGATTTTAACAGCAAAAACAAGAACAAACTAAACCAAACACAGAAGAACATAAACAACAGCAAGAACATAACAAATACAAAATACTAAAAATAATTAAATACAATTCAACAGAAAAGAACCCGAAGTGCACGATACCCAACAGACATATAGAACCAGACCATCACAAGAACCATCACAAGAACCATCACAAGAACCATCATAAGAACCATCATGAGAACCATCATAAGAACCATCATAAGAACCATCATAAGAACCATCATAAGAACCCAGGGAACACAAGAACCCAACAACACGAGCTGAGACCAAGAGGAACAAAGATTTAAAAAGATGTAAGAAACTAAGAGATAAAAGTAAATGAAAAGAGAACAGCAATAAGAAGGTAAGAGCAGGAAAAGAAATAGAAACAAGTGGTTAAACGATAGAAAAAACAAAAACTATAATATTAATAAAAATAAAAAGTAAATATAAATATAAAACATAAATAGGCAAAGTAAGTAAGATAAGAAATGACCAAGTTAAATCACAAGAGGAGTTAAGATAAGAGCATAAATTAAAAAGACAGTAAGAAGTAAAAGAAGATAAAAATAGTAAAACCTGTAAGAAAAGACATCACATAAAAGCAAGTCTGTAAAAGTACGTCTGACATGAATGATTGTGCGTTTAAATTCTGTTAAACGCTGCTGCTGTGGCTTTTACCTCTCCTCAGAGAGTGAGGGCTGTTCTCACAGTGCTGCGACTGTCCACTAGAGGTCATCGTTCCCTTCTGCCCGATCACCGGAGACAGCTCCTTATTCTTCAGAGTACTGAGGGGAAAGTGAAAGAGAAGAACAGGCAAAAAGGAATCACAAGCTGCTGCTCACTTCTCTTTAATAAGATGTCAGCCCTGAGTCCATAAATCTCTTGAAATATAAAAAAATATATATTTATAAGAGCGCCCATAGTTCAATGTCAGATTCTCTGAGTGACCACGGCTGCAGGCGGACATGTCGACTACACTGCGCTGCAGCAGAAGTGGTTCAAGAATCCCAAATAAAACCCTAATGGCTTAATGGATTTTCCTCACTGGTACAGCGCAGTGCAGCTTGAATGCCAATGGGGAAGAGGGGCCTGAAGGTCACAACATAACCAGTTTATACTTTGACTGTCAGCAGATGAGGCACGAGTGCATGATTGAAACTGCTGGGATTTAAGGTCCAGATGGAGACAGCCACACACCAGCATCTCTGGGCTTCTCCCCCCCCCCCCCAATGTCAAACATGATAACGTCCTTCAGCGGCGTTGCTGATGTGTTGTTTTACTTCACAATAATAACATGGTGTGTTGTTTTTAATTCACTGTCAAGGTTCTGATCCTGCAGTCTACCGCTCAGCGCTGACTGAGTTAGTGCTATGACTCATTAACGCCCACTTTTATAATGGTATGCAATGAAAGCTTTGAATTTCCTTTGTTGCCTGGCAACCGGCTCCTGAATATCCTGGCAACATGGAAAGTTATGGATGGCATTCATGGCTGTTAAATTAAAGATGGATCTGATAATGGCGTTTCTTAAAGAGCACTGTTTTCCATGACTGACTGATGCAACAACCAAGGCAACTAAATAAGACGAAGAAGTTTTTTTGGGGGGGGTCTTCATCTCCCCCCATCCTCTCTCCTCCCCATCCCTCTTTCAGTTTGTCATTTGTGTGTGTTGGCATTAGTAGATCAGGGTTTCCTTATTTACCTAGTCAGCTTGGCTCCTTTCTCCCGGTTACAGGCACAGGCTGCCCATGGAGGGGGAGCGGATAGGGGGGTGTTTGGGGGTTTTGGGGAGCCAAGGAACAGATCGTGGCGAGTAAGAACGAGCGGGGGTTTAATGTAAAGGGTGGAGCCGTTTGTCTCGGACTGGGCGGCATGCGAAGCGTCAGACAGAGAGGCCTGTTTGGGCAGGTGCAGGGAGCTGGGTTTGGGGTTGGAGTTGACATCAAGCTGCTGGGGGGACGGGCTGAGGGAGTGGAGGAGCGGGGGCGGGCTGTAGCCGGTGCGGCGTGGGGGAGGGGACGGGCCGGGGGGAACGGATTCGGGACCGGGAGCGACGGGACGCTTACACGGGGGTGCTCGGGTGTAGAAGTGGTGGTGCGGGATTGAAAAGGACGAGCAAGAAGAGGAGGAGGAAGAGGAGGAAGAGGGGTAAGGGGGAGGCGGCCTCTCCTCCTCGGGGGAGGGGTAGGCGTAACAGGAGTCCGACCAATTGGAGGATGCATCATCCGAGCTGCAATGATAAACATAGCAATGTTTCACGGGGAATTAAAATTGTTGTCTGGAGACGGAAAATGCTGAATGGATTCATTAGTGTCTAAAGGTATGAAGAAGTGTGTGGGGGAGGGGCTTCTAAGATTGGTGCATAATGAGGGGAAGGAATCTGGTGATATTTAATTATTGTGTTGGTGGTGGGGGGGGGGGGAATACGGGCTCTCGGTGGCTTATCACGGAGTAAAGAAAAGGTGATCTATGGTTTTCAAACCACAAAATGAAACAGGAAAAGTCACCTCATCCATTGCAGGGCCTTGCGACAATGGACGCTTATGCTGTTAATGATGCTCGGACTAACAGCAAAAACAAAAACACAGAAATCTTTCATGCAACATGCAGCAGTAAAAACATTTCTAAAGAACTTCTATAAACATTTTTGGTAAGACTTTATAATAACCATCATCTATGACGGGTAAATAATAGTTAATTAATAATTAGTTAATAGTTATTTACTGTTAACAAACAATGAAATGATAGTTAATACTGTTTGCTAATGATTTGTAATGCTATAATATATGTTATGTTAACAGTTTATTATACATTATAACATTTCATACACTTTATAAAGTTATGAAATGTTATAATGTGCGCATCAATAAACTGTTAACATAACATTATTATTATTATTATAGCATTATAAATCATTAGCAAACATTATTAACTATCATTTCATTGTTGTTAACAGTAAATAACTATTAACTAATTATAATTAACTATCTATTTACCCTTATTTACCATTTATAGATGATGGTTATTCTAAAGTGTTACCACATTTCTTTACATAGAAATACGTCCAAGCAGAAGTGGAAACCTTGCACCACAGGACGTACAGTTTGTTTATTCTAAAACGACTCCACACACAACTCAGGGATGAGAAATGTGACAAATCAAGATGTTAAGAGCAATCACAGAGTTTTAAAATGACATGCTTCATCAGAGGTGAGACATGGGGAGATCTTAAGGAGGTGACAGGTGAGAGGATGAGCATTCTGCTGAAGGGGGGGAAGGGGGAAACGGGAGTAAGGGCAGACAGTGCTGCTCTGTGGTCAGTTGCAGGACGTAGCAGCAGCAGCAGCAGAAGCACACGCGGTAAAGGGGTGGGGGTGGGGGGGCAGCAGCATGTGCAAAAAGTGTGTTTGTCGGAGTTGAAACAGGAGGGCAGGGGGGGGCACGACAGCCTTACCTGGCTCGGTCGCTGCTATTGGGCGGAGGGGTGGGGGAAGGGGATGCGGCGTATTCCCCAGGTTGCTCTGGAATGAGAGCGTCACAGGGCGGGGTTGGGGGATGCACGTTTGGCGGCGTGGAGGAATTTTTGCGCGAAGAAGAAGACGATCCCCTGCGCGACACCCATGTAGTGTCCATCACCCTGACACCCATGCTGCATTGGGACACAGAGGCAGAGCCAATCAGACCAAAGGGAGGGCGAGTGTGAGTGTGGTTCAGTGCGGGTCGACACCCCTTTTACAAATCATCGCAGCTGAAGCCGATGAAAAGGTACTCCCCGCCCCCCTTGGCCTTTGTATGATCGTATGTGCTTACATTAACAATCTTAAGCATGCAAGAACAAAGAACATTTTATCCAAACAGTGTCTTGCTTCAATGGAAAAGTTCCCTTTGGACGACAAAGTGTGGGTGAGGTGACGAGGAATCAAAACGTTTTAGAACTGCAACATGACCGCAGTTTGGTTTGAATGAACACAAACATTTGGGAACACCCTCATCAGCTTTCTTTTTGGATTTTAGCTTAGCTTAGCCTTATGAACAATAACAGGAGAAAACAGCTACCCTGGCTTTGTCCAATGGCAAAAAAAAAATCTGTGTACCAGCATCATCAATAAATAACCCATTATATATAATTTATGTGAGCCGTACTTACATGTTTATATAAGAAGAAGAAGAAAAACAAGTTGAGGTTTAAGTAATGTCATTTGTAGAACTATTCCTCTACCAGCAGCTGTAACCTCTTAAAGGAAGAATGTGCGACAACAACACTTTTTTTGGGGTGTGTCTCAAGGAAAAACATCCCTTAAGGTATATTGATTTTATATGTCCACAAATGGTCATAAACTATTACCCCATTTTCAGTTTTGATAGATGTAACCACCTGAAGCAGGACAAAGTCAAACGTATACAGGTATCTGTTTCTAGCTAATGTTGGGTAATATGAAGCCCAACAAGTTGATTTTGTGGAAATACGGTCATTTGTTGTTTTAAAAAAATGGCAGCGCCCAAAAGGTTTGGCTCAGGGCTAACAACCAATCGGGTGACAGTTGTCACTTCCTTATACAGCTTAACTCTGTTGCATAATATGTTAATGTGCTTGCTTTGTAATAGATTAAGTTGTAATCTTTTTTTTTGTCTTTAGAACAGCCAAGCTAGCGTTCTCTCCATGTTTCAAGTGATTATGCTAAGCTAGGCTAACTCGCCATTGGTTGTCTCTTCATAGTGATAGTACAAACATGAACAGGTAGCAACCAGGGAATTGGTATTTCCAAAACACACTTAAATGTTCAGTTTGCTCAAACATACCAACAGGCAGTTATTTTACTTACAGGTCGAACAGGTTCAGCAAAGATGCTTCTTATGTAAACACTGAAAGAAAGAGCTGCTTTGTCCCCGTCACCCATGTGTCACCCACACTCTCCTAGAGACACTGAACTACAGGAGTCCAAGTGTGTCGCATCGGGCAGGCCTGACTGGAGCATTAAACACACACACATGAATGATGACGGACAGTTCCTGTCAACGGGCAGCTGAGACGGAACAGGAGGTGAAGAGAGGATGACTTGAGGAAATGATCTATACTGTACCTTTGTATCTTCCTAATGCTGCATTGTTAAAACAGAAACAGGCAAAATGAGGACAGGAGTAAGGATTCCCCCCCCCCATTGGTCTCATTAAAAAGCAGTGTTATCAAAGCACACAGGCACTTTGGCAGGATAAACTTGTAAGACAAGAGCCAAGATGGAAGAGCGAATGGGGAGGCTGGCCTGGCAAGGGGCTGCGAGGGACCGGAGCTGTGCTGAGTGTAACAAGGAGAGCGATTTTTGAGAGGTGAAATGTGCTCTCCCTGAAGCTCTCCAAGCATGGAGAAAACCAAGAGAGATAGTAATTGTTCCATTTAGCCTTAATTAGGTCAAAGTCTCCCCAATGGATACAAGAGTTTACCCAGAAATAACACTTTCTTGCAACTGCAGAGCGGCTATTCGGCTCTTGCCTTACATTAGGGTTGGAGGAAAAATACGTATTGTTGGTACCAGTCAGGCTAAGACTACGTCCAGTTGACCTCGGATGTCAGAAATTCCGAGTTGCCGGTCTGATACGTCATCAGGAATGCCTGAGTTCAGATCCAATATGGCTGCTACGTGCATCAACAAGGATGTTTAAGTTGTTACTGTGTTTATCAGCAGCTTAGTCGTCTTTTTGTGTAATTAAATCAATCACACCGATGGTATCGTGAAAGTTCTCTCTGTGGAGGTGTTTTCATGTTATTTTCGGTCAGAAACTATCACATAGTGTGTTGTTGTTGTCGTCTGGTTTTAGCTAACAAAACAAAGGTACTGCCGGAGTCCATGTTGCTTTTTCCGACTTTGCAACTGTAACGCGGTTAACTCGGGTGTGACGTAATTCCCAGTTCCGAGATCCGAGTTCCGAGGTAAATGGAACGCACCATTATCCTATCTATCACATTGATTTGATTTGTTTCGTATCGTATCTTACGGCTTCGTACTGCTCAGATCTGTCCAATAAATAGAAGCTAGAACCAGTTAGCTTAGCTGAGCATAAGGGCTGGAATGCATAGGGGCAACAATGAAAACCAAAATCTACCAATCAGTTATTTAATCAGTATAGAAATATATATATAAATATGACAAGTTGCCTTGGACTGGAGTGGCCTAGAGCAGTCTATAGCCCCATTCAGACTGCTGATTCAGGCCGTGATATTTATGCCCCTTGGACGATTTGCCTTCAATCTGAATGTTTCAGAGGCGTATGGGGAGACGAAGTGATCCCCATTACACCTGACAGGGTTTATACTGGTTGACTGGCAATTGGCATTATTCTTATATTTTTATGTAGTTTGATTTTATTCCAACATATTGTCTGCTAATGTCCTGCTAATGAGCAAAAATCCCCAAAAGCAGCAGATTTCAGCGTCCTGGACATTTTGCTTTGAGTAAAAAATTGAAATACAGCTAACCCTAACCCAAACATCTTTTACACTGTACATAAAAAGGAAGTCTGTCAAAGGAATGGCAGCCTCTTTGTGTCGAGCCTGCTGGTTTTCTTAAGAGTGTTCTTTGTGTTTCTTTTGAAAGCTCAGCTCTATTGATCAGACACACAGCACACACTCGGTCCAGGTTTAATTAGCCGGGCTACTCGTGGTCCCAGGGCTGCAGGGCTCAGGCTACCCGCAGGGTCTGATAACAACGAGGATGTATCAAAGCATTAAAAGAAGACGCACAGAGACCGAGGGAGAAAAAAAGAGAACGAAAACCGTCTGACTGGGTCTCCGCTAATCCTCCTCCAAAGCTTGAGGATTGTCTGATTCCTCATTTCACAGACTAAATGTCATCTCTCTCTCTCTCTTTCAGTCTCTTTCTCCACTCAGCTTGAATGCGGCTGCAGCAGATAAAGAGTGACACAGTACTCTTTCTGTCCATCTCTTAGTGAAACTGAGCTTTTCCCCGCTGAGGTCACTCTAACACATGAAACTTGTGTAATCATCGGGGAATTCATTCCAACTCGCACATCTCATGTCCGACCCCGTCAAAGGGAAGTCATGCAGAAAACTTTACGTGCCTCAGAAAGTGGCCTCGTCAAGAGAAGAAAACTTAGAGCTGACTTGTCAGTGGAGCTGTCAGACGGGATCCACCCTGAGTGAAGCTGTAACGACGCCACAGAGGTGGAGGGGACTGCTGATTGATTCAGAGGAGGAGTGACACCAGAGTGTGTGAGTGAGTGTTGACAGAGCAGTTGTCCTTCATAGCTCAGATTTTTTACAAGCATACTATTTGCAGCTCTTTTTTTTTTTTTTTTGTACCTTTAAAGGCTTTATATGTGATTTTTCACACTGAAATGTAATCGAAATCAACTCTCTGAAAATAACTCTGTGAGTCATGACTGTCTACAATGGGTGTAACACCCGAGTCCCACTGTCTGTGATGTTTTCAGAGTTTTCAGAGTCCTATCTTCACTTTGTTTACATCGCCAGGATGGCCGGCTGACTCCTCCCCTCGTGTATAAAAGTTGTTTAATTGAGGAACTAGAGAAAAGAAGAATAACATACTGTACTCACTGCTTAACTGTGTTTCTAGATCACGCTCATTTCAGGTAAATTTACATGCAGTGTGAAGATACCAGCATCATAAAGATCGCTAGCATTAGCATGCTAACACAACAATGCAGCGTGAGTTGTTTTGGTTTCATGCTGGTGCTCAAGGGCGACATCTGCTGGATCAAAAAATCGCATATAAAGTCTTTGATGGAGAGATAGGTCAGTGGATAGAGCTGGAAATCAGGGAGAGAGAGAGTATGGGGAATGACATGCGGGAAAGGAGCCACAGGCTGAATTGGAACCTGGGCCGCCCGCTTGAAGGACTTTAGCATCCACTACAGCTGGTGGCGCGCACTACCCACTGCACCACCAGCTCCCCTGTTTGCAGCTCATTTTAATGTCATATTGGATACAGCTCCTTTTAGGTGTGCAGTTTAATTTCAACACTGTGTGCTGCACATGTGCAGCATCATAATATTTATCTTACTCCTCGATTAAGCATGCATACACTATAAACTAAGATGTTGAAAAGGCTTAACATTATACCTGTTCAACATAAGCATTTAAGCATTGTTATTCAGAGCGTGTCGGCGTGCCCTTTGGGGTCGTACCCGTCCTTTTTGTAGAACTCCAGCATCATGTTGTCCGTGGCGACGCTGAGCGGCCGTCGACTCTGGTCGTTCTGCCGTCGATCCACCTGATCCATGTCCGGTGACGGCATCAGGCTGAAGTTTGCGTTGTGGTTTGTGTGCACCGGGCTCCCGTAGTTCCCAGTGACATTGAACTCGATTTCTGCAAGAGGCGATGCAGTGTTTTTAATATTTGATCCCGAGTTATATAAACATGAAAAAGTCTTCTGGTGTTTTGAGTTATTCCTCCTCACCTCCGGGGAAGAACCAGTCGGCGTGCTGGATGATCGGCTCGATGATCCCAACGATCTGCAGGGAAACTGTTGTCATCATCTCTGTGATGTTTCTGCAGACAGAAAGGAGACAGAGTTCTTTTTTTTTTTTTTTCATGGCGGGATGTCGAGGAGAAGCAGCGATGATTAGGACATTTTCAGAAGCATTAAATGAGAAAATGAAAACCACATCGTAACTGAAGGCTGTTAAATTGCTCATTAAAAGTTGAAGATGGATAAGACGAGTGAGTTACAAGAACACGTCCTTCACCCTCTTTCAAACTGCAGAGTTAGCTGACACTCAGGGAGAAGCCAAACTGTAATAAAATACTACTTCAATATCCATGTTCACTCCGGATATTGCACAAAAAAAAACATTTATTCACAAGTTTGAGAAGTTTTAACAGAGAAAATGTTGAGTGCTTGATTTGAGCGATAATAATGTTTAAACATATCATGCTATCTGGACATTTCACTGAAGAACCTCTCGTCTTATTTTATAGTCGTAGGCTACAATATGTAGAATTTTATGACAATTTTTACATTTAAAACTTGACTAAACCTTTGTGATTTTTTTTTTGTTGAGTACTGACATGACCTCAAATATTTCCAACAGTTATCAAAGCCAGAGAAATCTGTAATTCTATTGTTGTAACGGGACGTGTCTTGTCGAAGCGGCCGCCATGATGAGCCGCCATGACAGACAGAATGTTTATCTTTGCCATGGAAACACTGGACGTTAAGTCAAAGCCCGCTGCATAAGGAAGCGTAAGCGTGGTAGCAGAGAGAACTCCCGTGATTCCCCGCCAGCCTCAACATCATCTTTTGTTATTGTAGTATTGATTGAGCGCCCCCTGGTGGTGGAAGCTACATATTGTACCTTTAATAAAAAGTCAAAAGATTGTAACTATTGCATCTTTCCCGGACGTCTTACCCTTCATTGTTCATCCACAGCAGGTTTGGACCGAGGACGATGGCGATGTTTCCAGGCGTCATCTTGTTAAAGTCCTGGTAGTCAGTCAGTTTGGAGAGGAATTTAATCAAATACCTGGAGATGCAATCGGACGGGGAATAGATCAGACAATGAAAACATGCATTAAAATTTGCATTGTACATTAAACATGGTTAAGGAGTTCAAGGCTGCTGTAAAATGTACCATCACTTTTACATTTTGTGTAACAGCTGTTCTTCAGATGTGTGAAATGTAAAAAAAACAAAAATGCTGGAAATACAATTTTATATCACACAAGCTCAGAAAAAACAGCTCTGTTTTCATCTCTGGAGGAATGCACTTGAGGCGGCTGTGGTTCAGTTGGTAGAGTCGACCGTCTCCCAACCTGAAGGTCGGTCCGATGTGTCCTTGGGTAAGAAAATTAACCCCAAGTTCCTCCTGCTGCTTTGTCAGCGTATGAATATGTGTGAATGGGATTAGTTTCTCCTGATAGTCCCTGACCGACCCGTGTTCAGGTGTATTTTTAAACTCGAGTTTACCACATGTAGAAGAAGAGCGCGTCTACAAAACATACTGAGCAAACTACAATTCAGCTTCTTCATCGGGCGCGCTGAGATGTAAAAGTGGGCTAGAGTGTGACTCATCCTGATCTGAACTACAGCTGAGTGAACATCAGGCAGCTCAGTCCAGCGAGCAGCGATCATCTGGACAGGTCTGACAGGTCTCCTCAGAGGACGCGCGTCTAAAAATACGCCCCTATTTGTGCAATTTCACGATGACACTGACAAGAGCTCCCTATCCCACATTTTTCAATTTCTCTCCCGTCGCTTTCTCTCGGCCTCTCCGACCCCCGCGAATCCCTTTCCTTTGCTTGTCTTAATCCAGCGGTGAAACCTGAGCTCTGAGGCTTCTCTCTCAGCACAGAGGTCAATGTATACTATATCTGCCAGGTGTCAATGAGAAAGACACACTCACAAGGGGGGTTTTAAAGTTTCCATAGTAACCATGAGAGACACCTGCTGACTTGCAACACCGTATGACAAGAAAGATTAAGCAGAGACTTCTAATTTGTGGTTTTCTGACAATGTTTAGGACGTAAGAGAAGAAGAAAGGAGGTTTGGTTTAGTCGACGTTTGAAAGTAATCCTTAGTCCCACCAAGAGGAAAAGTCACAGAATCACAGATCTGCTGCTGGTCTCTGCTGAGCGGAGATTTTACGCTTCAGTGTTTGCCGAGTTTTCACAGGAAAATGTGGAGTGGCATTTAGAGCCCGAGACACTGCTGCTCGTAAATATTCAAAACACAAGCAGATTAAGAGCGTCTAGAAAAGAAAAAACGCTACAAAAACAGAAATCACAACTAAAACACAACTGAACACGGTGGGCGGTGCTGTGTGGATCTAATAGCATCATGAGTTACCGCCATTGATGATCAAAAGTGAAGCCAAAAACCCCTTAAGATGGGTGCTGACATCATGTTGAGTTAGAGTCTAATTAGTGTTAGACACACCGGCTGGTGGAGCCGTGGTATTACCAACCCTCCCCTCCTGCTAACCAAAACACATTTAACTAAAAACAGCAAAGACCCCCTCAGGTCGGCTCAGTCTGCGGAGGAGGGAGGCTCTAAGATGTCACCTAGTTAGTAATGACCTCTGGGTCAGTCCCACAGGAGAGTCTGCAGACAGCCGAATTGCTGACAGTGCATAATTTGGCGTCATATCGTACTCATGCACTCGATGGTGTGACAGTGGGACAGTCCTAAGCACTCACACACTTATCAGGGACGTGACAGTGAGAACTCTGAGTGTGGCGATTGGGAGTCTGCCAATAAAAAGCATGCATCAGTTTTTAGCTTTTGCTGTCAGCTGTCTTAGGTCAATTGCTTGCAGCACCTGAGAATTCTAGTTTTCTAACAAGCCTTTTTGATTAAATAGTTAAATGTTTTTTCCTTTACTTGTCTGTTTGTGTGCTCTCTCTTAAAACCCCTTAAAAATGTGCTTTTAACTTTACAATATTTAAACATTTTTCTGCAGGAGTGAACAGAGCTGCAGAGTCTGATATGGTTACTGAGTCAGCCATGTTTTTTGTTACATTTTTTAATTAAGTAAAGCCTTGTTCCATCCAGAATTCATCACAAATTAGTCCCACTTGAAGGTCGAGATGTGTAGAGAGTGAGATGATAAAGGTATCTCACTATCTGATCATTAAGGAAACATGCTATGTTGAAGTGCTGGCTTCTCTGACAACAATGCAGCAGCCAGTATGTCCTCCTTCTAACTTTAGATTCTGCTCCTGAATGCTCTGGATTTGTTTGGACCAGAGAAGGTAGGCGTAGGGTAGACAGCTCTCTACAATGTTTAGAATTTAGACTGCAGCACCCATTTTAAACACTAGGTGTCAGAGTTACATACTGCTCCTTTAAGATAGTCAAGAACTAAACCGCTTTTTGCAGCAGTTGATAAACTGTTAGTGGGATTGAAGTCGAGGATGATTGTGAAACTGAATCCTGTTGAACATGTATTTCAGAGTAAACTGTTTGATCTTGGTCCAATGTGAATCATTGCTGGTCATCTTCCCCGCTGTCCTGGATGAATAAAGCAACACAAGAAAGAAAAACGGGACCACAAAGACAGAGAGAGAGAGAGAGAAACGTGGAAACAATGACTCACTTAAAGTTGTTGTTGTTGGCCGGTGGAAGTTTCTCACAGGCGCTCAGAAGAGCCTGCAGTCTCTTGTCTTGATCTTGAATGCTGCAAGACGACAGAAAAACAAAAACATCCACAAAGATAAAGTTTGAAAAACGGTCACAACGATCACCGATTATTGTATAGAAAAACATGGCAGGGAGGAGATACAGACTTGGAGGCCTGGATCCAGTCGTTGTAGAGCTCATATGACATTAATGGCTCGGGGAGCTCCCGCAGGTACGACTTCAAAGCACCTGCAGAGGACAAAATAACAGATACAAGCTAAATGTTCCCATGCTTCATGTTCCCATGAAATATAAATATATATCGCTGCATGAGCTCATAGTGTCTCAGGCTGCTTCAGCATCGCCCCTTGCCATGTCGTTGCATTATGAGTATTAGATTTTATTTTTCACCCCGTCACCAGAAACCGCCCGGAGCATGAATTACAGAAAACACACAAAAATATTTTCAAACATTTTTGTTTTTGAATTATTCTTTCTTTTACAATATCGTTTTTCTTGTTCCCTGACAGTTCAGAGATGAGACACAGAAAACAGTCTCCCTCCTACTCTGAGCTCCACGACCGATCTAAAATAAACAAGAGAACTATTTCCAAACACGTTTTCATCAACGCCCCGTGTGTGGGAGTGTAATTTTCCAGCGCTGATGAGGACGGTGACGGCTGACTGGGCTTCTCTCTCTCTGTGTGCTCGTCTCTTTCTTCTTCTTCGCTCTCTCTGGTCTGGTGAGTTTCATTTCCCCCTCGGGGATGTGTGGGATGGATGACAAACAACAGAGCCGGGGGCATCCCTCACTGAGAGACAGCTCGGAGGCTGCTGTCGTTCTGTCTGAGCGTGTGTGTGTGAAACGTGTGTGTTAGTCTGAGTGTGTGTGTGTGTGTGTGTGTGTGTGCAGCCATGTCACACTCTGTGCTGAATAAACACATTAAAAGCACATTAAAGCTCGCTGAAAATACCGCAGAAGCTCTTTTAGTTTGCTTTTATTTCCAAAGAAAGCCTTCTTCTGCTTCTCATCGAGGCCGACCCCCCCACCCCTCGCCCATCACGACCAGGACCACCCCCAGTGGGACAAGACCACAAATTAGATTTGCTGCTGGAGCTAACCCAGTTTGATATGGGATCATTAGAGGAGGGATCCGAGGATTCCTCTCTTTCTCCACACGCTCCACTGAACACAGCTGATTGACTCTGATTTGATATTTGAGAAAGGGACATATTGTTAGTGATGGGGGAAATATTGAATCTCCGTCTTCCTATGGTATCAGGCTGAAAAGTGAACTGAGAAGCTTTTGAAGTCAGATTAAAGGCTTTATATGTGATTTTTTGATCCAGCAGATGTCGCCCTTGAGCACCAGCATGAAACCAAAACAACTTGCGCTGCATTGTTGTGTTAGCATGCTAATGCTAGCGATCTTTATTATGCTGGTATCTTCACACTGCATGTAAATTTACCTGAAATGAGCGTGATCTAGAAACACAGTTAAGCAGTGAGTACAGTATGTTATTCTTCTTTTCTCTAGTCCCTCAATTAAACAACTTTTATACACGAGGGGAGGAGTCAGCCGGCCGTCCCGACGATGTAAACAAAGTGAAGATAGGACTCTGAAAACTCTGAAAACATCACAGACAGTGGGACTCGGGTGTTACACCCATTGTAGACAGTCATGACTCACAGAGTTATTTTCAGAGGATATACTTGATTTATATTTAAGTGTGAAAAATCACATAGAAAGACTTTAACCAAAAAATCTGCAAATAATAAAAATGAAGCCCTGCAATCACATGATATACACATCAAATATAACAGCTTTTTTAAAGCAAAGAAACACATTCACGTCAACTTTAAATTATTAATATCTTCATGTTTGTGTCCCATTGGTGATGACTTGTCAATCTCAGGTAGGCATATCCTGCTTTGCTCTTCCTTGTTTCTTGATATGGGGCCATATAGTTTAATAAATTAACATCGTTGATTTGTTAAATAAGACTTCAAACCAGCAGATAAAACTATGAACTCATCAGGTAAATATTGATACAGGTCACAGTAACAGGCTCAAGACTTTGATACAATTGGACATATTTTTAGGACCAGTGGAGTTACCCTCCGCTGGCTGTTAGAATCTATCAAGGTGTTGAGCCACTTTTCAGACATGGTACGATATGATACCACACAACACGATAGGAACTGGCAAAGCTTGACACGATATCGTCAGGGCACGACTTGACTCGGCATGACATGACACAGTGCAAAGTTGTCTAGGTCTCATGAGAGGGTCTTGAGGGTCTCTACAAAAAGCAGCACACACAGAAGTCGGGATCACGAGCAGGGCAGAAGCAGCCGGAGTAACAAGTTGAGAAAAAAGAGGACGAAGGAATCTGTGCTCAAATTCACATTTCAAAGAAAACACTCAAGATCTGCCTCACCACTAAATCTGTCTTTAAATTATACGCTCTCGTCCCATGAGATCGGAGAAACTTATTCAGTAACTTATCCTTTATGCAAAACTCTGCACCAATTTTTTTTTCTTTCAAGGCATTATTATCAATAATGCACAGCTCCACAGCTAAAAAACATTTTTCCATAGCTCCTTAAAAGTCGGTTATTTTTGAGTAGTATTGTTTTCATCTGTCGAGTGCATTATGCAGCAGTCGGCTCCACTGAAGACAAACACTTTTCTCC